ACCTGGAAGCACGTCTCCTTGGAGAGGACGCGCACAGATCGAGAGAGATTCTCTCAAACAGGGTGAGATCGCGCCTTTGGGCCACGCCGATCATCCTATTTTTTCTTTCTGTGGATTATAGCCTCAATAGGCCTACAAACATTTCCAGTTTTTTTCTGCCGACGGGCGCAGGAGTAACAGCTTTTTTTTGTCAATGAACTATGGCCTGGGTTAGGCAGTAAAGACAATCTCGGTTTATCACCGAGCGGACTGTTTGTTGAGTTTTGTTTGTTTTGTTTGGCTCAAAAGCGGTGAATACACGTGAATAACGTATAAAACCTGTCTTTGTTTATTTTGTGAATGTGTGCATATACTGTAGTAAATACATTTCCGTGGGGACTATTTTGTGGAAAGAGCAGATTATCCGTTTATCAGTTCTGTTTACCTTTAATATATTATTTCATATCAAGAACCCCTTGTGCGTTTATTTAACACAGCTATTCATAATAGCTGATCGTTACAGTACTACAGCGTCTCCAGCGCTTTCGAGCGGCAATGGCCGGCCGTGGCCCAACCCCACATTCCCCTGATAGGTGGAGAGTTGGCCCAATAGCCGTAGCGCCACCGTCCTGACGTCAGGACAGTGTTCAAATCTGGATCAGTTTTTATCAGAACCGTTGCAGCCCCTTTTTTAGAGATTTGGGTATGGAGGAAAATAGAGAGGGTTGTGTTTTCTGACACTTGGTGAGTTCCCTGGAACACCAGGGACACATATTCATGTATAAAAGACGTACAAAAGTGCATTTTGCATGATAGGTCCCCTTTAAGTAAGCACTAATTAGAGGGTTATTGAGGAAAAACGATCAACTAATGGCTTATTACTTGTAGAATATGGTCATGTAGAATAAGGCATTAATACGTGTTTTATAATGACTAATAAAGAGCCAATTTAAGTGAAGCCAAGTTAATGGTTAATTTGTGTACCTGATTAATACACTGGGTTACATAATCCAATCATGGAACTACAGGTTGGGGGTACTGTTTCCACACGGACATATATGTTGTTGGTATATACTGTGTCCTCCTTCCTTTCGCTTTCTCTTGTCTTCCCAGGCTTCGACCCAACAACATGTGCATTTCTGCTGCTCAATAAAGCCAGCTTTGTACCTTCATTGCACCGCCTCCGACTCCCTTCTCTCGGCACTACAACCTTAATATAAAGTGTTACCAAAGTTTGAAAACAATGATCACAGGTGCAGTGATGTAAACATCTCCATGTATGTTGTTGTTTTTCTGTGAAAAAGAATTCAGTTCACAAATACGTTTTTTTTTAAATAAAGTTTTGTTTAAAGATTATGTTTTGTGTAACTTTGCTACATAAAGTTGACTTTATATAGACACGCCTGATTTGACTTAATTCCACTCTACTCATAGCCCAGATTTGTTAGTCTAGCATTAGTATTAAAGGTCCCATGTCATGGCCATTTCTACTGATCATAAGTCGGACTCGAGTGCCGATTTTCGGTACTCGTGACTCGACTCGGACTCGCGCACTGATTGACGCGACTCGGACTTGGACTCGTGAATTCTCGCGCACGATGACTTGGACTCGGACTCGGACTCGTGAATTATCGCGTACACTGACTTGGACTCGGACTCGTGAATTTTTCCCCCCACGATGACTCGGACTCGACTTGTACATTGACGCTCCGACTTGGACTCGGACTCGGACTCGAGCAAGTTTTCTATGGAGTCTGATGTCCTCTATCCTGGCGTGTGCACCGGCTGCGAGGCGAGTTCACGTACTGGGCCCCGCTATTCCAGTCTAAAGATGTCTAGAGACACACCCCGCATCGTGCTGTATGCTTTCACACATTCTGCTTCCACATTGGAAAAGAGCAGCGCAAAATGCTCGTTATGTGGAAACAATATTGAAGAGAAGGCTCCGTAACACATTACTCTAAACATCGAGTTCAGACATATAGGCTGTCTTGAACACTATCATCAGAGTAACGTGATTTAATCAATAAATAAAGATTCAGCCGATAACACGAAAGCACATGGCTACTTAACATGCAGAATGACGTCATTTTGCATGCTAAGTAGCCATGTGCTTTCTGGGGCTAAATCTTTATCAGTAAACCGATTTAACCGGTAAAAGTTCCTTCAAAATAAGAGTCCCGATCTTATTACTATCAAAATAAAAGTGCAAAACGAAAACTTTACCATAGAAAAATATTGGCATACAAATATAATCACTTCTCTAAAAGGTAACTCATTTTAAATATAGTTTATTTATATATAATAATAATATTAATATTAGTAATACGCTTTATATTTGTATAGCACCTATTACAAGAATTGTAGCCAAACTCGCTTCACAGCAGTTCAATAGACAGATTAGTATAACATGACAGGATAAAAGCAATGTAGAGGAGCAGCTACATTTCAACACATATATCCACGAAGATTAATACATGAAGACTTGTGACTCGGACTTGACTTGGACTCTTCTTAGGTGACTCGGACTTGGACTCGGACTCGAACACAGGTAATGATGACTCGGACTCGGACTCGACACGGACACTCCTTGGGTGACTCGGACTTGGACTCGACTACGACTCTCCCTTGGTGACTCGGACTTGGACTCGGACTCGAAGAGTGGTGACTCGAGAGTGACTTGGACTCGTGAATTGGAGACTTGACTACAACACTGGTTGAGGTCTACTAGAATAGATTTATATTGTGCAATTTTCCAAACTCACATTGGTTTCTCATAGAGCATCTCTGTATAGTATGTGTATTCACTCTCTGTCCTAAACAGCTTTTTGGAGCTCCTGCCCCCCCCTCCCTATGAGCCTAATGTGCTCTGATTGGTCAGCTCGCCCACTCTGTTCTGATGAGTCTACCACTGTTACAGCGGAACATCAGTGATTATGTGTTACAATGGCGTTAGCAACCAGAAAATGACACCAGTAATGACAAACAGATGAGAATGAGCTGGGTTCATTTCCTGCTTGCTGCGTGGGATCTGCGAGACAGCGAGACATCGAAAATGTATTTTGTCATTTTGTTCAATTTTCTTTCAAGATGCTTTCAGGTCAATAGAGCACATATGTAAAATATATCCATGAACTAACTATCATTCTATCGTTTTTTTGTTCTGTTTAATTCAGGGTGCATCATGGTTTCTTTCCTCCCAGCCATACAGGATAACATTATATTAATCCGCGTGGATGTCTACACAATAGTTCCTCTCTCTCTGAATGTACCTTGTTTTTATCAAATAAAAACAAATAAAAAAGATATATGCAAGTGTACAGTTTTGTAGTGGGTGTCTATGTTTTGGGTCTCCTGCAATAAATGATTATTATATCTGGAGCTGTGAGGTCTATTAAGCCTTTTACAATCGTCTGATCACTTATTTGTAACTTAAAGGGGACCTATCATGCAAAATGCACTTTTTGATGTCTTTTATACATAAATATGTGTCAGGGAACTCACGCAGCATCAGAAAATAAAACCCTCTCTCTTTTCCTCCGTACCCAAATCTCTAAAAACAGGGCTACAACGGAGCTGATCCGGATTTGCGGCCGATATGATGTAATATCGGCGGCGGACCCACAGCACTATCAGAAACGTTGCTATCAGAAACAATGCCCTGTTTTGGACGTAATATGGTCGGTGTTTACATTAGCATCGCTAACACTCAGAGAGCATGTGTGAAGAAGCAGGAAATAAAAAGGAACTCACCTTGTTTCAGAAATAATCCTTGATCTAATAATCCTTGCGTTTCATCACCGCAGCATTTTAGACAGTATCTGCCATATCCCGCATGAGCCGGCATAAGCTCCGCCCCCTCTTATTTTATTTGTTTTCAGTTAAAAAAAAAAACCTTTATTTTTTTATTTTGCCTTTATTTATACAGGTGAAAATCTCATTGAGACACAGGGTCTCATTCTCAAGAGAGTCCTGTTTATACCCAGAATCAGCACTTTTGGAACAGGAAGAGAAATAGAGGGATATGAGGCATGGCTAGAATGGGTGATCTGTTTGGTTTTTTGACCAAAACACTTCATAGACATGTTTTTTATATATTTTTTATATATCTGAGACCTATGCTATTGCCTAAAAATAGCATGATAGGTGACCTTTAAGCTCGACACAAATGTTGCCTTATACACTGAAAAAAAAGACACTTTTATGAAAAATCATACAAAAAGCATAATGGAAAAACATGATTATATTTAGTTACTAATTTCTATAGACATCAAATCAATGGGAGGGGGCATTCAAGTTGATCGCCTTCATATTACCCTCTCCAGAATTTTTTTTCGTAGGTTATTATTTATGCAGTTACTCTACAAATTGTAATTGTGATTTCATTGGTCTCCCACTTTCCCACTCTGAACATGTGAAACACTAGAAGCCCACCAGGGGCTGCCACTCTTCACCAGCAGAGCTCCAGAGTGGTGGAGACCCCTGCAGCTTCCCGGCACAGTCATTGAGCTCATGGACGGCAACCGAAGAGGACGCAACTAGATTCTAGATAGCATGAAACTCTGAACACAGAGTGGTGTTTCAGAGCATCAAGAGGATCATATTCAACACCTTCCTCAGTCACTCTGTGAGTAAATCATGGAACTTTTCTCTTTCTTTATTACATTTATTTTGTTCAGTGTACAGACATTAGTAGAAATTCAAGGCTGCATGGTACTTAAACCTGATTAGATATTTGTTTGGGGATAAACAACAGATAGTGGAAGGTGGAAGCTTAGTTGGAAGTTGTTAACACTTGAATGAATAATATTGTCCACCTGACAGTAGTAGAGTGTGTAAAGGCTGGTTCAGCACTGTTTGTGGCAGTGTTTTTGTCACCCTGAAAAATACATTTGTCGTCAGTCAAAAAATAATTAATCAGTCATTTTCATTTTTGAAGAACGTTTGAACACTTCAGCGAGGATGCATTAAGGAGAGAGCGCCTTCCTCTCAGACACACAGCGGGACACTCAGGGCTTCCTATGGTGGCCGGCCAATGCCTGGCCATGGGCAACGGTTCCATAAAAGTCCCGCGGGCTGAGGAGAACAGCTGCCTGGCCTCCATCCACACAGACCCCCCAGGCCTGGACAAAGACATCCTCAGGTCAGAATAAAAGTTAAAACCTTGATGAAAACCTATTGTTGGATTATTGTTGGTTTAGATCAGTATGACCTCTGAATTCTGAATGTGGCCCAGATTATTTTACCTCTGGAATTGGTAAGAGGTTGATACAATGTACAATGTTACTTGTATTTTAGCAACATAAATGCCATACATGTAAAAGATCCAGTTTCTCGTTTGGTTTAATGGCTTCTTAGTCTTTTTTGCTGTAATATAGTAGCACATAATTTCTCCTTGTCTGGAATTATCAAATAGAAAATGGGCATCAACATGAATCATTGGAGAAACCTTTCATTTATCCTGGTTGACCTCTATTGTTACCATGACAACGTAGTATTTACACATTTTCCTGGGTAGACCTGAAATAATCTTCATAATATCTATCAATCTATAGATCCTACACATCCACTGAACGTAGAGTCTGAAAGTAGACAATACATTTCTTGCTAGAAATCTAATCAAATAGCATTATAATGGCTAAACTATACTATCATTCACTGACACTGGCCATAAGAAATCAATAGGAAAAGAAAGCAACAAGTCCTCCAACTCATACGACCAAATAGGTCGATTGTTCAAGCGCTTATTACGACCAAATAGGTTGTTTGTTCAAGCGCTTAATATGACCTATAATCACGTTTTAAAGTTTTCGACCTCTAGTGCTCCCGTTGATTGCAAACGTTACAGAGGGTCGTTTATTCACAAATAACCCTCTCTGTAAAATCCTAAATTGTAGGATAGTTTGGCCATTAAAATGCTTTTTGATTAGATTTCTAGCGAGAAGTGTATATTGTACTTTTAGAATCCACGTCCAGTGGATGTGTAGGTTTAGTTTGATAGATATTATGAAGATGATTTGAGGTTTCGCCAGGAGAACGTGTATATGCGGCAGCTTCCATGTAAAGTTAGCGTCAACCCTCACGGGGTGAAAATAGTATTTCCGGTCTCAAAGTTTTCATAATAAAACCAATGATCAAATGATTTAACAGTGATATCTGCAGTACTCATCCACTAAAAAACATCAGTTTATCCTTGTTAATTACACAACATTAATTGGTTTAAATTGTGTACAATGCTTTTGTGTTTTTCCCATAGGTTTTTCACTTTCGATTCTTAGAGACACATTTCTTTTTTCAGAGGTTTTGATAGGCTAAAACATCGAACTACCCATAATCCTGGATGTTTTAGCCGCAAGGCACGTCGGGATATGGTGTTTATGCGATATGAAATCGGAAAACATTTAAAAAAAATTCAATAATACTTTATTCCGAGTGTTCTTGCTCTTTGGAAGTCATCACATAACGGCATTGTAATACACGGTTCGGCTGCATTAAATATTACACATCTGCCGTAGTTCTTTATTTATAGAGCCCTGATTAGAAGACTTCTAGACAAACTGGAAGAAATGCCACGGAAACTGAATACGTGACGTGGATCATAAATATATCAGCAACAACATCTTCAATTTCTCTTCACACAATACGTCTCCTTGCAGTATTAACACTAATTCGGCTGACTTTTATATTTGATCCAATTGGTAGATAGGCTATATTTACACCATAACGGTGCACAGCTGATAGAAAGGGACTTGTAGTTTTTAAAGATATTACTGATTTACTGAACTACCTTTCCAACTCCTCAAGCAGTTGACTGTTACAGGTCTATACAGGTTCATGGTACAATGCATAAGCTTCAAATCGACAGACTGAAACTGTATTTTTCTTTACCGTTCTGTTTTAATTTCACAATAAAGTTAATAGTAATATTATGTTTGATATTATTATGTTTTATTAACTAGACCACTGGTTTTTTAACCCACACCGCCTAGTGGTTGAAGCACGTTATTGAATTTAGTTGTTGAATAAGTTATATTTGATGAAAACATTTAAATATTAAGAGTAGCCTACATACAAAATAGGGTGAAAGTAGAAGGTCAATGATAGAAATATAGAATAGAAAATATCAAGAAGATACTGTAAGTGATCTCTACAATAAAACAGTTTAGTGCAGGACGTCCAAAGATATTAATAGGAGGATGTGCAAAACAGACAAACTAATAAGGCTTTATTTAAACATTAAAGAATACTTTAACCTGTTAACCTGTTATGCACGGCCCGCCCGGTACCGGGCGGAAAAACACGTTATTTGCAGGAAACAACGTCTAAGGAATGTTAATATTTAATAAACTATGAATGTTTTATATCCATGTAACGGGAAGAAACTCAGCTAACTGATCTTTTTAATTTTCTTTTCCAAAAAAACCCCACAATGCTAGCACTCAGCCTCTGAATTAGCCACATGCGAAAAAAATTAACCTGAAACGGCACTTAAACTCACTCATAACTCCCTTATTACTTATCCTAGATGCAAAGCCAACCACTCGTTTTTGGTGTCCTGGAGACACTGAATCTGTGGGTGCCCTCCTCAACACTCAGTGATAAACATTCGCGACGCTATAAACGAAAGCGTACATCATAACATGTGGAGCTAGGTAGCTAGAAACGCTAACATGGCTTACCTTGGTCAAAACTGGTCTTCAATGGCATTCAAACGATAAAAAAACGATACTGCAGTTAATCCATAGGTTCATCCTATGTATCTGTGCCTTCTTTGAAATTATTTCTGATAATCCATAAGCAATAAAACGGCTTTTTAATTTCCAAACTCCAGAAGGACAAAATCTGCAAAAATAGTTTCATTTCTAGACGCGTAGCCCCCACCTTTTCTCTTTACAATGAGTGTGTGAGTGGGCCTCCCCCTTCGATTCTATTGGCTCTAACGGTCAGAAAGGTGTGTCAACGATCCCAATCGAGTAAGGGGGGCCAGAGATAGGTCAAATCCACCCAAATGACCCCAGAAGTGGGGGTTTTTGGCTAAATCTCTCTAAAAAGGTCAAATTTCACTTGTTTTGCATCAATCTTGATACAGGGTACTTATTATATGTTGTACTTTGGATTCCTAAAGTTTTTAGTCTACTAACCCATCATCCAAGGGTAGTTTTCACTATCTGTAAAAAATAATTTTTGGACGGACACTATAATTTACAGTTTTTTACTATGTAAAATCTGAATTTTCTTTAAAATAAAAAACATTTATATTGATTCTGACACTTCTACATCCAACTCACAGATGTAACCTTGCTTTGATAAAAGAAATTATTCATATAACCCTTTTAGAAGTTAAGTTGTAGTCATTTGTTTTGGGAATGTCATTTTCGAGCCTGAAACATGAAAAACAGGCTCGGTGCTTAACAGGTTAAGCCCTAGAGCCCCCTGTACAGGGGGCAGTGGGGTGTTTTTTCACGAAACTGTGTCTCAGGGCTTCTTAATATTTAAAAACCTATTAATGTGTCATACCCATTTAACGGGAAGAAACTCAGCTAACTGACAATACGAACCATTTTTACCGAAACAAAACACAAGTCTCACAAGAAGCGTCTAAATGAGCCCTGAGCGAAAATATGCTAACACACTTAGCACAGAACTCAAGGTAAAAATTCCCTTATTACTTATCGTAACTGCAAAAACAAGATATCAGATTAAAGCTGAGATTCCACAGATTCTATAGGTATAAGTATCATCACTGAGCGATCAGAACTCGTGACAGGGGAAGCAAACAGACGTCACAACACGTAGCATTACGGAACATTCACGGGAGATCGTCTCAAATTAGCTGTTATTCTGATCAATAGTCGTGTTCAATGGCATTAAAATGATAAAAACGCCGCTGAAGGTTAATCCATAGGTTAATCCAATGTGTCTGTGTCACTTTGAAAGGATTACTGATAATACATCATTGCATTTTTATGTAAAAAACGGAGATTTCATATTATTTTTATTTTTATAAATCTCTCTAAAGAGGTCAAATGTCACTTGTTTTGCATCAATCTTGATACAGGGTACTTATTATATGTTGTAGTTTGGATTCCTAAAGCTTTTAGTCTACCATCCCATCATTCAAGGGTGGTTTTCACTATAAGTAATGTTTTTTTTTGGGCGGAGGTAAGAATTTACCTTTTTTTACAATGTTCCATCTGAATTTACTCTGACACAGAAACATCTATATTGATTCTGAAACTTCTACATCCAACTCACAGATGTAACCTTGCTTTGAGAAAAAAGATTATTAATTTAACCCTTTTAGAAGTGAAGATATGGTAATTTGTTCCGGGAATGTCATTTTTTAGCCTAAGACCTGAAAAACAGGCTCAGGGCTTTTAAGTTAAGGTCTTCTTTTGAATAAGAAAAAAACTTTGGGGGTATCCACAGATAAATATTAAGTCTGACAAAGTACTTAACGTCTAATATATTGCATAGTTTATTTTGGCACTTGACAATCACCTTCCATGAATTTGACTCAGGTGTAACTAAAGTCTGATTTAAGGGTTGTATATATTTCACATCATTAATCAGAATCTGCAAAGTAACAAAACTAAATGTAGTGGAGTAAAAATACCAGGTTAACCTCTGAATTGTAGTGGAGTAGAACAAAGTAGTACATGCTGCTGTAACAAAAACATTTCCCAACTTGGGATCAATAAAGTATATCTTATCTTATCTTATCTTAAGATGATCGATAGCTACTGCCATATTTGCAGAATGTGCCTCTGAACCTTGACAAGTGCATGTTTCAGGCTTATCAATTAACAACAGGAGGGGTCACAGACATACGACCAGCTGTTAAATAAAGCTCTTCTGACCTTAGCTGTCATGTGGTTATATTAATGCTGCCCATTATGGACACAAACAATTTTCACCCATTTATTAATTATGTTTTAAATGTGATAACACCACTGTGTTTCGTATCCCCTAAACCTCCAGGGGTGTAAACAGTTTAATACTGGCAACTTCTAATTGTGGGAAAAACGAAAACGTCTTTTAAAACTACAATTCCCAGTAGAGACGTGCCATAGAACATGTTGCGAAATGCACAATAGCCAGCATGTGTAGTTCTGGGGGGGGGGAGGGCTGGGCTGGACCCGTCCGAGTCCAGTTTTGGATAGTCTGCCGTGGTTCCATTCCATTTCAAAGAGCTGTTTGACGCTCGGCGCAACCTTGTCACACTGCCACTCCAACATCCATTCACAGAGCTTGAGGACGAATCACGGGGTTTGTAAAGCAAGGCGGATGTTGTATCCCCAAACGATAGCTGGGGATTCTGGGTAGTGTAGTGTCTTCGGAAACTCTGTAGTGTCTAAACTTCGAAAAAACGATTTGTTTCTCCGAATCGAAGGTTAAAAACACAAAAGCATTGTACACAATTTAAACCAATCAATATTGTGTAATTAACAAGGATAAACTGATGTTTTTTAGTGGATGAGTAATGCAGATATCACTGTGTAATCATTTGACAGTGAGGGGAATACTTCCGGTTTTATTATGAAAACATCGAGACCGGAAATACTGTTTTCACCCCGTGAGGGTTGACGCTAACTTTACATGGAAGCTGCCGCGTACTGTATACACGTGGATTCTAAAAGTACAATGAATATACACTTCTCGCTAGAAATCTAATCAAAAAGCATTTTAATGGACAAACTATTGCACAATTTAGGATTTTCTAGAGAGGGTTATTTGTGAATAAAAGAATCTCCGGAGCGTTTGCAATCAACGGGAGCATGTTGTTTCTTACACGACCACTAGAGGTGCTACACTTTAAAACGTGACTCTGGGTCGTATTAAGCTGCTGAACAATCAACCTATTTGGTCGTTTTTTGTAGGAGGACAGGCTGAAAGAAAGAAACCTAGCCATGTAGCAATTTGAGAGGATGTTTTTGTGAACATACTACGTTTTGCCCTGTGGACCAATGTGGCTATTACACGTTTTTTGTGTGATTAATCATTGAGCCCTCGGTGGGATGTCATTGGTCTTTGCTTTACTGGAAATGTCCCATAATTCATTATATTACATTACAACATCTGTTCCCTTTATAACCAAGCCTTCGATCTAACCTAACAGCAAAATGTGTTGTTTATCAATAATTTCATCATTGTTATAAAACCACTCAATAATATGGTTCAGGTTTGATTAGCTTTACCTTCAAAAACAACTTGATTAACCAAGAATTACTACTTGCCAACTTGCCAACTTCTAGTTTATGCTTAGGAAATGTCAAAAAAAATAGTTCATTTAAAAATGAATAAAGAGCTTCCTTATGGATGCTACTCCAACTTGTAGCACATTTTACGATGTGTATTAAATGTATAGTCATTTTTCCGACATGCATTTGGTCCAGCTAAGCATTTCAGACGTTGTCTGCTCTATGTTTGTAGTGTAGACTGAGTCGGTGTGCAGTAGTGTGGTTTTGTATTCAGTGATGGAACTGATATTGCTCTTCAGGCTGCGGATCACCCAGCTGGAGGAGGAGCTGGCCCGTCGGGATCAGGAGTTCCGGGCCCAGGAGCTTCAGCTGCAGTATCTCCAGAGTGAGCTGGAGGCCAAGGTCTCCCAGGTGGACAAGCTCCAGGATGCTATTGGCTACAACAGCAGTCTGGGCTGCTCCCCCCAGCCCCGGCGCCCCCGGCGCCCCCCCCGCTTCAGCGTCATCAACCAGGCCCCCAGCCGCTTCCACAGGGTGGCTGTGGAGGTGCACCGCCGCCTCAGAGCCAAAGAGGGCGTTTCTGCAGAGCCTACCTCAGAAAACTTCTGCGGGGGGTTCAGAGCAGCTCACACCCCCACTGTAAAGTCTGTCCGCAAAGACTCACAGTAAGTTAACGGGACACTCCACACATTAACATTAACTTTTAGAGTGGTAGAAAACATATTCCCTCTGAAACTTTCAAAAGAAACCCAAAATCAGCCCACCGGGAGTACAAATATCTTCATTTTCTTGTTAAAACTGACTTTTGGGATCCTGAAAATGTCATATGGAATCAGCATCCTCAATCATCCCCAAAACCACTCAGAAATTGTCCAAATCGGCCAATCATTATTATCTACATAAGATATAATGCTACTTGCTATCAACAACACCCTAAAGTCTTTACGACTCTACCTAGCACCTGGATTTTTGTTTGACTAAGACCACAAATCATATTCCCTGGTGTGTAGAAAAACAGTCTATAGAAAATGTCTTACAAAATCATTACTGATGATAAATCTAGAAAAGTATTTATTACGTCATCAACAAGCTTTTACTAAAAAAACGGTGTCGTTGTCATTTAAATGTGATCGACCAAAACAGAAGACCTTTGGTAGAAGAGTGTGTTTAACCCCCCCTCACACACACACACACACACACACACACACACACACACACACACACACACACACACACACACACACACACACCACAGACATACACACCCCACAGACATACACACACACACACACCACACACACACACACACACACACCACATACACACACACACACACACACACACACACACACACACACACACACACACACACACACCACAGACATACACACACACATCTGAAAGGCTGTATTACCATGGCAGGATAATAGAAAGACATGGGCCAAACAAAGGGCCACTGAATCTAGATGCAGGATCTGGGTCATTATGAGCTTCAATTACTCAACCTCCGCTGCCTGCTGCTCTCAGATCCATTCAGACTCTCATGTCCACTGAACGCACCGCACATCATCTGTGTGATGTGCTAATCAGAGACGCACAAAAACACCCACTCAGGGAAATCTGCTGAATAAATTCAAAATGCACACATTAATGCAGTGGCTTGGAACCAGGACCCATATTTGCAATATTTTATTGTAGCAAACACGTCTGGTGAAACCAACACATAATTATACATTACTGTTTAGATCACATTTGGTTTTGTAAATAAATAAATAATATGCTAGCATATAAAGGTATAACCTATGATGGGCAGTGGCATGGGTGAGCTTATAACATGCATCCTGGAGTAACGTGAAGATATCACTTTAGAATTAGAACTAGAATGTAGTTTCACAGTAATACAGCAATGCTTCTGACAATCACATTTTCAAATGATCCTGCCCCACTGTCAGAATGTTCTTTAGTGGCCCTATCACGCCCGACACTATGTATATGTCATATGGGACTCTGGGCAGGGGAAATGTACCTGACCAAATCAAGCAAAACACGACATAAGTGATTTTGCTGAGGTCCTCCATTTGGGCTAATCAGAGAATCGGCGATGGAAACCTGAAACCCTTTGGATGCATGTCATCTAGCAAACTTAGTGCTGTGTCTAATACAGAATCCTCTCCTGTGGATGAACCATGAAGGTGTGCAAATAAATGAATAGCAGAACTATTTTACAGAAGTCAGTCCTTACATAATACAATACAGCAGAATATAATACAAAATATTACATATATATAGCGACATGTGTTTTAATAAATTGGTTTTCATATGTCTCTGTTGTGTGCCAGCTAGGTCAAAACTTGAAGCTACGTGTTCATTAGCTGTTGATCACATCATTGGCTGTTTTGTATGCAAAAGAAACTGATTAACTGAAGGAAGGCAACCTATATTGTTTGCTCTCTGCTGCTTCCAGTGCAAACAGCAACACTGAGCTAAGCTTACTGCGTGCTTACTGTGGCGTTCCTTGACGTCGCATACGGAAAAGACCATAGGTGACCACCTTTATTGGTTGGCAGCTAACAGGATAACAACAAAAACATAGCTAGCATCCTGCGTGAGGTCTTCATATTTAGAGGACAAAGGCTTTTGTATGCTGTAAAGGTTTTTAAACCCCTGAGGTAAATGTGTGATGTGATATTGGTATGGATAACTAACATTGAGTAGACTTTGGTTATCTCTGCTTATTCCTGAATTCCAGAACCAAGAAACTCATCAACAGTGCCATCATGAACAATGACTTTCTGAAGAAGCTGGAACCGCAGCACATGAGGGAGATGGTGGACTGCATGTACGAGAAGGTTTACACCGAGGGACAGCTGGTCATCCAGGAGGGGGAACCTGGAAACTACCTCTATGTCCTGGCAGGTAAGCTCTGCAGAGCATGGATCTGATGCAACTAACACTGTCCCATTTCATGTTAAAGAGATGTTGCTGGACAGTTGATAGGGATGATATAATGGTAGGGGTGATAGAAAGGTACGGATGATAGAAAGGTAGGGATGATAGAAAGGTAGGGATGATATAATGGTAGGGATGATAGAAAGGTAGGGATGATATGAAGGTAGGGATGATAGAATGGTAGGGATGATAGAAAGGTAGGGATGATATGAAGGTAGGGATGATAGAATGGTAGGGATGATAGAAAGGTAGGGATGATATAATGGTAGGGATGATAGAAAGGTAGGGAGGATATAATGGTAGGGAGGATAGAAAGGTAGGGATGATAGAAAGGTATGGATGATATAATGGTAGGGATGATAGAAAGGTAGGGATGATAGAAAGGTAGGGATGATATAATGGTAGGGATGATAGAAAGGTAGGGATGATATCATGGTAGGGATGATAGAAAGGTAGAGATGATATGAAGGTAGGGATGATAGAATGGTAGGGATGATAGAAAGGTAGGGATGATATAATGGTAGGGATGATAGAAAGGTAGGGATGATAGAAAGGTAGGGATGATATGAAGGTAGGGATGATAGAAAGGTAGGGATGATATGAAGGTAGGGATGATATGAAGGTAGGGATGATAGGATGATATAATGGTAGGGATGATAGAAAGGTAGGGATGATATAATGGTAGGGATGATAGAAAGGTAGGGATGATATAATGGTAGGGATGATAGAAAGGTAGGGATGATATAATGGTAGGGATGATAGAAAGGTAGGGATGATAGAAAGGTAAAGATGATATGAAGGTAGGGATGATAGAATGGTAGGGATGATAGAAAGGTAGGGATGATATAATGGTAGGGATGATAGAAAGGTAGGGATGATATAATGGTAGGGATGATAGAAAGGTAGGGATGATATGAAGGTAGGGATGATATAATGGTAGGGATGATATAATGGCAGGGATAATATAATGGTAGGGATGATATGAAGGTAGGGATGATATAATGGTAGGGATGATAGAAAGGTAGGGATGATATGAAGGTAGGGATGATATAATGGTAGGGATGATATGAAGGTAGGGATGATAGAATGGTAGGGATGATAGAATGGTAGGGATGATATAATGGTAGGGATGATATGAAGGTAGGGATGATATAATGGTAGGGATGATAGAATGGTAGGGATGATATGAAGGTAGGGATGATAGAATGGTAGGGATGATAGGATGATATAATGGTAGGGATGATATAATGGCAGGGATGATATAATGGCAGGGATGATATAATGGTAGGGATGATATAATGGCAGGGATGATATAATGGTAGGGATGATAGAATGGGAGGGATGATAGAATGGTAGGGATGATAGAATGGTAGGGATGATAGGATGATAGAATGGCAGGGATGATATAATGGTAGGGATGATATAATGGCAGGGATGATATAATGGTAGGGATGATAGAATGGTAGGGATGATATGAAGGGATGATAGAATGGTAGGGATGATATAATGGTAGGGATGATATGAAGGTAGGGATGATAGAATGGTAGGGATGATAGGATGATATAATGGCAGGGATGATAGAATGGTAGGGATGATATAATGGCAGGGATGATAGAATGGTAGGGATGATAGAATGGTAGGGATGACAGGAATAATGAAAGGCCGGCCATCCAAACATCTGTATCCAACAGATGTGTAGATGAGTGGAACTGTAAGGTGTGTTTGCTCCCTGCAGATGGCCTGCTGGAGGTCTTCCAGAATGGGAAGCTGCTGGGGGAGATGCGTCCTGGAACTGCATTTGGAGAGCTGGCCATACTGTACAACTGTAAGAGAACAGCCACGGTCAAAGGTGAGGGGAGCAGCCATTCTTTAAATAAGTCCTGGTCCTTTATGTGTGTCTCCTCTGGGATCACACTCCCTGGTGCTTCAGTGTGTATGCTATGGCGTGTGTGTTGACAACCATATCCATATCATTTAAGACACCTCCATCTCACAGGGAGTTATTAAATATACCTCAAACCTACTCATCCATGTGTCACCAACTCTAAAGATATGATAATATTATCATGCTTATAAGCTTTAACTGTACACCCAATATGTTTGAATTAACATTTGATGGAAAGACAAAATTATTTTTCACAATGCAACACGAACATTTTAGGTAAACATGGGGCCTGCAGTGTGTTAAATGATAATCCTTTCACTCATCAGCTTGAATTTGAATACATTAATTTACATTTAAATTAGGCCTTAATAACATCTATTGAATAATGAATTGCTTTCATTATGACTTGAAATGATGACTTGATAGTTGAGTTGTCTTTATCTTAGCTTAGCTTTTGATTTGTTCTTGTTAAATATCACAATATAAATATTACTTTGGCACCTGGAGAAATTATAACACGTTAAAAAATAAATGTTGCTATAAAATGTTTGGTGTTATATTTGTGCAATCAAATGCAGCCGATCAAAGATACCTGAAGGTTAGCTGTCTGAAATCTATTTAAGGATTAATCCTCATTTTGTTTTTAATAGTTGCACACATAATCTTAAAGAAGTACTGTAGTTAAACAAAGTTTAGTTGGAATGTTCTGCCTGTGTTTGTGTGCAGACATGATAAATGACAATGAGAATGCATGAGAAAACAGCTAGCTCTTTTCAGAAAACATATCTACAAAATGTTCCAGGACATGAAACAATGCCAGTGTTCTTGTCTGGCTCAGAAATACAGAAAACAATCCCCCAACATGATCATAATAGTAATTCCAGTACATCTGCAGCATGTTGTTGGACTGAATACAGCATAGGAATACAAAATAAACTAGAGAATGCAATTCCTGAAGAAATTGCTAGTGGGAATGCTTTATGCTGAAAAGCTGACGCTAAACTGCTATGCTGAAATGTAATGTGTAAGAAGAAAGTGAAGAATTTAGATTGAAATGATACATGAACACAGGGGCCTTGAATGTGTGATGAGTGAAGAAAATAAAGTATAAAGGCTTGGAAAAGCAGCAGAATATTTGAACTGCAAACTTTTTAACTAACTTGATGGTGAATGATCTATCGCCATGGCAACGGCATTTGATGACACCCCATAATACGCTTAGATGCGTTGATGGCTGCATCGTTCACTGAAGTTATGAGAAAACCGTGTTTCATGGTGAGCATTGTGTTGCCATGGCAACGGCATTTGAAGAAACCCCATAATTGACATAGAGCTGTTGAGGCATGGACCGGTGATATACAAGTGAAGATTGGGGGACGATTGGACCGTGTCCATTGGACTTACAGCGACATCGTGTTTCATGGCGAGTGGTCTGTCACCATGGCAACGACATTTGATGACACCGCATAATACGCTTAGATGCATTGATGGCTGCATCGTTACCAAACCTGTGAAGTTTTGGGTCGTTTGGAACATTGTGTGTGTGTGAGTGAGAGAGAGAGAGAGAGAGAGAGAGAGAGAGAGAGAGAGAGAGAGAGAGAGAGAGAGAGAGAGAGAGAGAGAGAGAGAGAGAGAACAGTTAGAACTGACTGCTGTCAGTTGGAGTGATGACATCATCGTGTTCCATTACACAGGTGTTTATAGTTGAGCTCTGTAGAGATCAAAGGTTTGCATTGTTCTGAATGAGAGATAAACCTCTTACATGTGAACGTTTTGTGGAAGAACCATAACAGATATCTGTGAAATTTCAAAACGTGAAGCATGTCAAGGAAGTTGAGTATCTGAAGTGTAATTTCGGGTTAATAATGTGGCCTTTTTGGGAGTTTAACTAAAGGTGTGCGGCTGCTGCTGTGAGGAAATATCAGCCTGAAATTACAATGGACTTTAATGGAGACATGTTGAACGTTTTTGTCACTTCATGCCCTCAAGAGGCATTTTGTTTAATTATTTTGCTTAATTATTTGTCCTTTTTCAAGCTACGAGATGTTTTCCTACGTTTGTCATGAGAAATTATGTCTCAGGAATGTAGGGTTTGGGAATTATGGCAGTTTTATAAAGAAATATGAAGGCAAATTTCAAGATTTCCTACCCTCTAGCTGTGACATCACGCACTCTAGTTAATGTTAAAATCTGAAGAAAACCTCTTTAACAAGGTCTGAACAATGTTTAATATCTCTAAAAGTAAGAATCAGATTTAAAAGTTGTGTTACACAAATAATGTCAGAAAGATGTGTAACATTTTAAAGTTGGAATGAGGTTTCTGAGTGAAAGTATGAATGAACAGTTAGCAGTTGAAGTCGCATGAAGATTTATTTAAGTCTGAAGAATTTCTCCATTGACTTCCATGTTAAAAATGTGATGTATTATGGGATGTATCTCTGGAATTATGAAAGTTATGAATGAGAAAAGTAATAGCCATCGATTCCCGACCGAGTTGAACGTTTTGATGTTTGAACAGAGTTTCTGCGATGTTCAATGCAGGAGGAGAAGAGGTGCAAAATTCCGGCGGAATAATAAAATGTTTGTCCGTAGAATAACATTTAGTTGGAATGCTGTATCAGCATTCCAACTAAATAAATAGTAATAAAATATATAAGCAACTGATATGGTAAGCAGATAAAATGAATGATTCATTCTCCTCCAGCTGTGTCCCAGTCTCACATCTGGGCTCTGGACCGGCAGACTTTCCAGACCATCATGATGCAGAGTACACAGGCGCGCCATGACGAGTACTTCAGCTTCCTGTGCAGGTAACACAGCTCTGTGCCCCCCCCCCCCACATTTGTTAATATTTTAAAGCAAAAGCAGCAAATCTTCAAATATTAGAAGAATGTGCTGCCAATAAATGTTGTGTTAACCCCACTTTAAGTTATTTAGGTAAATTAAATATAATGCACGATAGTTTTATCCATACCAAATCATCTTATTTTAAAATGCTTACCTGAGTATTGTTTGTCAAAATCTGAATGTATAAAGTAATTAGTAAATACATCTCTAAAATAAATGAAGTGGAGTAAAAAGTAAAACATTTGCTTCCAAAATGTAGAGGAGTAGAAGTATAAAGTAGCATATATACTGAGATACTCAGGTCAAGTGCAAGTACCTTAAATGTGTACTGAAGTACTTGAGTAAATGTACTTAGTTACTTTCCACCACTGCACACCTGTACAGGTTTAAGACTGACTTTTGCTCAGACACTCTAGGTGAAAAAAATACCAGCAGTGCTGTAGTGGCTGGTAAAATTAAAATGTCTTCATTTCATAATGAAGACATTGAGTCTAAATGCTATCATTATTAAATCATCAAAATCCTGCATGATATACCAAATACAAAGCCTTAAAGACCATTTTTAGTGGCAGACAATTAAGTGCATTGTAACATTTCCTACATTTCTATTATTTTGCAGTTTACTGTATATGATAAATCCCAACATCCGTTAAAAAAAGTGTGTATTTGTGTCTCTGTCAGTGTGTCCCTTCTCCGTGGACTGCCTGAGGAGAAGCTGGCCAAGGTTGTGGATTGTCTTGAAGTGGTGAGTATTTCACACTGACGTTTTGTAGCATATTTCTACATTTTATCAAGTTCCATACAGTGTCTGTTTCTGATTTAAAGAGAATGACTGACCTTCTGTCTTTTCAGGACTATTTTGAAAAAGGGGAGTATATCATTCGAGAGGGTGAAGAAGGAAACACTTTCTTTATTATTGCAAAAGGAGAGGTGAGATATCTGCACAAGCCTGTCAAACTGTCCTAAAGCCTCAGTATTTGATTTATTGAAGTTCATTTGCACGATTCATTTGCCTTGAAGCAAATAAATTAAATGTTATCATGATAATATATATATAATTTTATTTGTCCGGAGCTAATTTTTCTGCAGTAGTTGCGTATTGCAACAGAAAAATGCAGAGGGCAATTTAAAGTGGACCTATCATGCTATATTTGAATAATATAGTGTAGGACCATACCTATATAAGGCATATTTATACTTTTTTTTTTTCAAAATACCAAACAGATCATGCATTTTTAGCCATGCCTCATTTTGCTCAATTTGACATTTTTTAGATCTGTTTTAGCAAGGGCAGATTCAGTGAGAACAGCACCATCTACTGGCCTGGCATATGTACTACAGCGTCTCCAGCGCTTTAGAACGGCAATGGCCGTTGCTGTCTCCTCCTGATTGGTGGAGTTGGCCCAATAGCCGTAGCGCCACCGTCCTGACGTCAGGAAAGTGTTCAAATCTGGATCAGTTTTTATCAGATCCGTTGCAGCCCCTTTTTTAGAGATTTGGGTATGGAGGAAAATAGAGAGGGTTGTGTTTTCTGACACTTGGTGAGTTCCCTGGAACACATATTCATGTATAAAAGACGTACAAAAGTGCATTTTGCATGATAGGTCCCCTTTAAATGACGAAACATCTTACTATACAGTGTTACCCTTAAGAATCATAGCTGCTCATAACTCACCTTGATGCTACAGTATATGACATATGATTGAGGTATTTAGCTTTGCATGTAGAATATGATTCTCAAGTATAGGAAATCATATATGTTTAATACAAAATGTCCAGTTATGCATGATTATGTATGATTTAAGCTGAATATTAGGTCGCATATACTGTATATTGCCTCTACAGCTTGTATACTGACTGACTCCCATTAGAAAAGAATGATTGTCTCAGTTCAGTTCTCTCTGTAGGTGATTGTCACTCAGAGCACAGAGGGGCTGGCTGAACCACAGGAAATCAAGACGTTGGGAGTTGGAGATTACTTTGGAGAAAAAGCTCTGATCAGGTACAGACAGGACTGAGGACACAGAACTGCAGAACTGTAAAAACCAACACCTATTACCCTCAAAGCTCACATCACATGGTATTCAGTGAGCACCAACTCTCTGAAGCTCATGCTCCGTGTTCTTCTGGCAGCCATCAATGCTCACTTGTTAACACATTACCAGTTGACCAGTGAAACCCATGAAGATAATAATACTGCTTTTGAGTATCCTACCTGTCCACTGTAGTGAGCGGTTTGCAGCGGTGGAAAGTAACAAAGTATTTGAACTCAAGTATTTTACTTAAGTACTTTTTTTTACTCTACTACATTTATTAACACTCCAAGTTACTTTGTACATATTAAAACACATGATCTGCTGATATGGTATAACTTCAACACTAAAATGCTCTTATATGGATAAAAGAGGATAACATAATAAGGCAAGGCAAGGCAAGTTTATTTATATAGCACTTTTCTGTATGCGACAATTCAAAGTGCTTTACAAAACAAATTAAAATACTTTTTATGAATAAATACAGTAAAAACACATTATATAATGGCATTTTACAACAGGCATTACAAAGCAAAGATAATAAAATAATAAAAATAAACACCACAGGTATACAATACATGTTTAGAAGGCATACTGTAGTTCGAATATGAGCAGCTCAATTAAAAGCAGCGGCAAAGAGATATGTTTTTAGTCTCGATTTAAAAATGGTAAGCGTTTCTGCGGACGTGCATGATTTGGGTAGTTTGTTCCAGAGTGTCGGGGCATAATAGCTAAATGCTGCCTCTCCATGTTTTGTTGTTACTCTCGGAACCGATAGCAGACCCGTCCCAGAAGACCTGAGGCACCGTGATGGCTCGTAATTGTGTAGGAGTTCATCAATATACTTTGGTCCTAAACCATGTAATGATTTAAAAACTAGCAATAGTACTTTAAAATCAATTCTTTGGCCGACTGGAAGCCAATGTAAAGATTTCAGAACCGGACTGATGTGATCCACTCTTTTAGTGTTAGTGAGGACACGTGCAGCAGCGTTCTGAATCAGCTGCAGCTTTCTGATGGATTTTTTTGTCAGCCCTGTGAATACACTATTGCAGTAGTCGAGTCTACTGAAAATAAAAGCATGGATAAGCTTTTCTAAGTCCTGTTGTGACATTAGTTTTTTAATCCTCGATATATTCTTCAGGTGATAGTATGCAGACCTAATGACTGTTGTAATGTGGCTGTTGAAATTCAGGTCTGAGTCCATCACTACACCTAGATTTCTGGCTTTATTAGTGGTTTTGTAGTCTGCCAACTGAAGCTCTGCGATTACTTTTAATCGGTCCTTCTTTGCTCCAAAAACAATGATCTCAGTTTTTTGTTTGTTCAGTTGGAGAAAGTTCTGAGTCATCCAGTCAGTGATGTGCTCAATGCACTTGCTCAGTGTTCTAATCGGAGAATAGTCTCCTGGTGTGATTTCAAAATAAATCTGGGTGTCGTCTGCATAGATGTGATAGCTTAGATCGCTCTTTTTAATAATTTCAGCCAGAGGTAGCATATAAATATTAAAAAGCAAAGGTCCTAAGATGGAGCCTTGAGGAACCCCACATGACATATTTGTCAAAGTTGATGTGTAGTTGCCTATTGAGACAACGTTTTTTCTGTCCTTTAAGTAGGTACTAAACCAATTTAGACCAATAACCATAATATATAATAATTTGAAGAGATCCGTTGTCGTACTCTTATTACTTTTGATTCTTGAACTACATTTAGCTGATAATACTTTGTATTTCTATATTACTCTGAAATGGGTCATTGTGCTTTTACGCTTTTACGTACTTTAGGTATATTTTGATGTTAATACTTTTTTACTTTAATTTAAGTAATATTTTGAAATCAGGACTTTTACTTGTAATGGAGAATTTTAAGACCATAGTATTTGTACTTTTACTTAAGTTAAGGATCTAAATACTTCTTCCAACACTGCGTGTTATAATATTACCAATTAACCAGTGAACCCATGAAGATAAGAAGGCTGCTTTAAGTAGCTCCACTGTCGAGAGCAGTTTGGGCCAGTTCCTTGTGTCTGGGTTGACTATGGGTCAGAGGAGACATGGGACAAATCCTTCTGCTCATCTGAGCAGAGATCTAAGACATGTCAGAGGGGTGCTCCACAGAATGTGTTCATGTGTGTTGTGTTACGTTTGTTTACAGTGAGGATGTTCGCTCAGCCAACATTATCTGCAATGAGAACGACACACACTGCCTGGTGGTGGACAGAGAGTGAGTACATACAAGATGTTTACCTGATATGTTATTGTGTACAGCTGGAACCAAAGCTTATATTAAAGGCCATTTTAATATACGGTAGATGAAAATGTAAAGAACAGTAATATATCCTCATCTGTGTTTTGTTACTGCTGTTTACTCTTTCATTGCTGCAACCAGTTATTGCTGAAGATGGATTGAGGAGCATGGAAGGTTATAATGCCAGCAACTAGTTATTTATTTTGAACCAACCCTGGGTAAACTGTCAGCAAGATCCTTATGTTCTGCTATTTAGGTTGAATTGAAAAACCTTGACATTCAATTTGGCAATAATCTTTATTTATTTATTTATATGTTTATATGTTATAATAAGAGGTCCATGACATCAAACGCTGCAGTAAAATCCCAGAGCACAGCCCTTAGTTTCCTGTCATCCACATGAACTAACATATGTAATTATACAGTGCTACTCCAACAGTTCAAGGAAAAAAAAACAAATGCATAACACCACAAGGGCAGGTGCAAATGCTCAGTCTTACAAAAATCGTTACAAAAGTAGACCAATGATACAAAAATTACAGGCAGGCAAATTAGGTAAAGGGTAAGGCTTTTTTATTGTGTTGCACTGTTGGAGGAGCCTGTGACCTAAGATTTTCATCGTCATAACTACACTGTAGCTATGTACGTATGACTAATAAAAGCCTTGAACCTTGAACATAAAGCATTGTCCAGGGAAAACAGGCAATGGTTAAAAACACAGGCACTGGCAGACTATGGTACAAGACAAAGGAAAGCTCAGGCTCATGGCTCAAAGACAATCTGGCAGCAAGTAAATGCTCTGGTATAGATAGGAAGAAGCTGATCAGGGAATGGGGAGCAGGTGAGTGGATCTACTGACAGAAGAGCAGGAACATGGGAGAGCCGGCTCAGAAAGGACAGCAGTTACAACACAACACAAACAAGCAAACTAAATAAGAATTATTATAAAATAACAGTTAGTAGCCTGCCCTTGTGCGACAGCGTGCTGTGCTTTTCCATTCAGTGCATTTGTACTAAAATAATTTAAAGTATCTTTATCAGAACATAAGGTTTATGCTGTATAAGTTATGTGGCTGCAAACCAGTTAAAGGTAATTTTTTTTATAGATAGTATTGCATGTACCACACACAAACACATACCCTCAAACACGACACACACACACACACACACACACACACACACACACACACACACACACACACACACACACACACACACACACACACACACACACACACACACACACACACACACACACACACACACACACACACACACACACACACACACACACACACACACACACACACACACACACACACACACACACACACACACACACACACACCAAACTAAAGGTTGTTAATTTCCCCCTGTTACCCCCTCTAGCAATTTCAACCAAATGGTGGGAACCTATGAGGAGCTCCAGGCTTATCTGAAGGAATATGTAGATGAGCTTTCCAGGAGTGATGAGAGGAGAAACGCCCTGTAAGTGCACCATGACAGAGTCAGTGTATGAGTAAAAGCAAACAGGGGCCCAAATGTGACCATATGTCCCCTGCTGTTCCTCTCTCAGGCCCCACTCCCCTCATATTGACTCTGCAGAGGCCCAGGAGCTGAGGAGGCTGAGGGAGAAGATTTCCCTCCTGCCTTTCAAGGATCTGGAGGTCATCGCGACTCTGGGCATGGGAGGGTTTGGACGAGTGGAGCTGGTTAGCTTCAGTAACACTAGTATTCATTATACTGCAATTTATTTATCTGGATAATGTTTTAACTGCCAAACCCTGTTCTTGTTATTTATTCAACTCAAGTCCCTTTGTAGTATGGTATCTTTGAGCAAACATATGACCAATGGATGAAAAATAAGAATATTATTAAAATATATCTGCAAAATTAAGGGGCAGTGTTTGTGACCTCATGGCAGGTTGGGTCAGAGGATATGACAGGGTGAGTGATGAAACATCTAATCTACTTCATGGAAAAAAGTTAAATGTAGCATTAAGCCGTTCTAGATAATTATGGGAAAAACATGAGATTTCCTGAGGCTCTTCACTATAATCAACGTATTTTTCCTCGGGAGGCTATTACAGGGACAGTGTTTATAAATGAAGGCTAACTCCTCTGTTGCGTCTCAGGTAAAGCTGAAGGACGAGGACACCACGTTTGCTCTGAAGTGCATTAAGAAGAAGCACATCGTCGACACCAGACAGCAGGAGCACATCTACTCTGAGAAAAACATCCTTCAGCAGACCAACTCTGCGTTCATCATCAGGTGAATCTCATCACACATGCAGGTGTAACCACACCCTGATACCTTTTTGTAAAGATATGCAGTTGTTGTCTGCTATCTGAGCTAGTGGAAGCACAAAAAGGTTCAAGAGAAGAGGCTGGAGGATTTTAGGCAACACTAACCTCCTGTATTCCGAAAGGAGAAGATGAAATGGGGGTGGTGGTGGTGTTTGAGCTTCTCTGTGGAGTTGCTAAGGAACCTGCTGGGAGAATGCTGCTGACCCGGGTCCATCCACTGCACTGAGATTTATCTGGACTATGACTTTACAGAACAAAGGCTTGTGTGAGCAGTGTGTTGACTGTCATTGAGAGGAAAGGTCAGCCATCATGTGATGTTCACTCTCCTTCACTAATACTGTACCACACTCCTCCTTACACTCCCTTTATTCTATATCAGTTCAGAGGTCTTTTACTATCAATTAAATCTAAGTATGTCAATTATATTTAATGTGTCTTCATGTGTTGTAAAGTTCATAGAACAAGGGCTTTTCTCTGAAGAGTTGCAGCAGTATTTTTGATCCGCAGCTTCACTCTGTAAACCCTCGTTAGTCCATAGAAGTGCATTAGACACATTATTATTCACCATTAATATTATTAGGATTTGCATTACCAATACAAGACATCGATACCAATAAAAAGCATGAATGCAGTTTTGACTAAAGGTGCACCTCAAATGTACAGAATATTAACAGGGTAGTAAGCTAGCTGGTTGGTGATGTTTTTAACGCGAACAGGAGTTAACAAAGAGTCTGTTGGCTGCATTTCAGGTTATTCCGAACATATCGGGATGATAAGTTTGTCTACATGCTGCTGGAGGTGTGTCTTGGTGGAGAGCTGTGGACTGTGCTGCGGGACATGTGAGTGTAGGTTCTTTTGCTACATTATAAAGAACTTTATTGAAAATATGCGTAGTAACTTAAAGGGGACCTATCATGCAAAATGTGTTTAAACATGTGTTTAAAAAGCAGGAAGTAAAAAAAAGAACTCACCTTGTGATAAACCTGCAAGAGAAAAAGCATTTGAGCTCCATACTGTTTCAGAAATAATCTTTGATGTGGTTTAGAACAGGATGGCGTTTTATCACAGCAGAATTTAACTTTATCTCCGGTAGAATTCTGATCAGGCATTAGCTCCGCCTCCTCTTTTTCAAGCTAAAGACCCACAATCCGCGTTTCTCTTACAGGGCTGCAAAAGAGGAGTATGAGCAGTATGAGGCATGCTACAATGAGTGAACTGTTTGGTATTTTAAGCAAAAAAATGCAGACATGTTTTGTATAGGTATGGCTCTATAATATATCTTTCCAATATAGCATAATAGGTCCACTTTAAAGGATTAGTTTACTCAAAATCACTAGAAGTAATAAGTCAATTTATTTTGAATGTTGTTAGGGAGAGAGCATCTGTATGCATGCACACACAAATACATTCACAGGAAAAATATGGCGACGTAGGGAAAATTGTTTTGTAATATCTATGACATCTAACGAAACACTTTGATAATGGCATACAGCTATTCTCAGAAATTCTGAGATTGAGATTTCCTTTTTGCTGTGTTTTGGTCAGCCTCAGGTGAATTCTGTTTACAGCGATATGCTTCATATTTCTGGTGCTCTAGTCACAGTGTAATAGAATACTTAACTGGGAACATGAGACCATAATTAGATGAGTAGGACAGACAATTTACAATGTTGGCAGCTGTGTTTCAGTCTGTTGCACCAATAGACTATGGTTGCACATGTAAACCATCCACAGTGCACTGACAAACCCTGGAGAACATCCTGGCATGACTGCAAGGTGAGAATTTAACCTAACAAATGAGGGGTTGGGTTGGGAATGCACCATAAATGTGAGTTGCTATCTATCTCTCCACATGTACCTACATCTAGAGTCCAGACAGTTTTACATTTTCGATGAATTTAAAGGACCAGTGATGACATTGAATCTGGCAGAGATTAAAGAAATGAATCAGATAGGTTGACAAAATAGCAAAAACCAACCCACCAATTCTCACCACAAGTGTTCTCTGAAGCAACCATGACACATTGAGATCAATATGGAGTTGTAACAAACAAACTGTACACAAAATAACATTATGTTTGGAAGAAGACTATGGTATTGCCACGTGCTTCTGCTGTATAGAGCTCAATATCTTTTCCTGGGGAGCCCCGTTGGTGTAGGGCTTAAGATGCACAACACCCTGGTAGTTGTCCTAACTGTCTTTGTGTATTAATGGATTCCATTCCTGTGTGGTTCTTTTCTTAACCTACCAGGAGCTATTTTGAAGAGCCCACAGCCAGGTTTTGTACTGGTTGTGTCTTAGAGGCCTTTGATTACCTCCACACTTTGGGCATCATCTACAGAGACCTGAAACCTGAAAACCTTCTGCTGGATGCTGAGGGTTATGTCAAAATGGTAAGCCACTTGTTTTAAATCTTTTTTGTAATATTTAAAGAGTGTTATGCAATGTGTATCTAAATTATTAACATATATTCTTAATTCCTCTGTGTTTCCTCAGGCAGATTTTGGCTTTGCTAAAAAGATCGGCCTTGGAAAGAAGACCTGGACATTCTGTGGGACTCCAGAATATGTGGCCCCCGAAGTCATTATGAACAAAGGTCATGACTTTGGAGCTGATTGCTGGTCCTTAGGAATCCTCATATTTGAACTTCTCACTGGCAAGTAAGTCAGTCAGTCAAATATATTAGCTTTTTACAATCTTAGATGCAACGTTTGATGAAGGTGAAGTTGAGTGTACTCAGCATAGCAGGTCAACATTTGATTTAAGCTAACATGTTTCAATATATATATGCAGTAATAAAAGCATTTAACTGTAAGGTGCCCAACTAAAAGAAGGCAACACGAGCAAGATATTTCACCTCCTCCCTACCACCCTTAATCCTAAAAGTGCTTTATGCGCACAATTAAATTCAATCTAGTTGATAGTGTCTTTAATTTGATGCATACTTGTTTGACTACAAGTTGTTTTTAATTCATTTATTTGCTTTGTTTCAGACATTAAGATTTTTAAATGGCATAAAGCCTGGAGGCATTTGAAACAGCTTCCCTGGCTCTGTTTAAAGTTGAAAAATAAGTCAAAGTCAAAGTCAACTTTATGTGTACAGACAGAGGATTGAAATACCGTTTCCCACAATCACAAATATAAAACAAATGTATATATATATATATGTATATGTATATATACACAGAATCAAAGACACATTTTTACATGTGCACACATTAAGACCTAGATAAAAACACAACAATCAATATATACAAAATAACAGTCACTTCAATATTTAAGAATGTACAATAATAAGCATGTTAAATGAGATGGATTTAGTTTTCATAATCTCTTAGAAAGAAAGAAACCATTTTTTTTTTAACCAAAATGTTAAACCCATTCTTTCATTAGTGTAATGATCATTTTACTTCCCAATAAACAGGAAATCTGTTTCTTCTGGGTTTTTTCCAGCCCTCCCTTTGCAGGCACAGACCCCATAAAGATATACACCATGGTCCTCCATGGCATTGAGAAGGTTGACTTCCCTAAAAGAATAGGGAAGCGTCCAGACGACCTTATCAGGAGACTCTGCAAGTACGGTGAATCAAGAAACAACTTCTGATATGAGGATGATAGTGCTCTGTCATTTAAACAGACAATTAGGAAACCACTGTGTAGATGGTGGTGTGGAGCAGACCAGGCAATATCATTCAAAATATTAAATGGATGATTATGTTGCAGTCACACTGATGTCCTGTCCACATTTGCCTTTGTAGCCAATGTGCTAGCAGCTTGTAAGTTTTGATGCTGCTGCTATGTATATTCAGCCAAGTGTTATACAAATATTATCATGTGAGTGTGTTCCTCAGGGTTAATAAATTGGACTAATATAAAATGTCTTCCGCTTCCTATCAGGCTAAATCCAGTCGAGAGGCTGGGAAACAAAAAGAATGGCATCATTGACATCAAAAAACACAAGTAAGAAACTTCCGCTTGACTGCTCATAATTTAATTTAATTTAATTATATTTAATTCAAAACTGTGATGTAAAGTTCTGTTTAGCTGCATGCTACTGGCAGCATGCTAGTTAGCTTGACATGTTGTTAGCTGGTAATGTAAGCTGGTGATGTGCACCAGATTATAACTTGCTTTTTGAGGCAATAATCTTGGGGTCCCAACTAAAAAAAGTAACAATTACTGAGAGGGGGTCCATCTGATGTCCCTAAAGACTGACCTGCACTCCTATAATGGCACACAATATGACAACCTGGTTCTTATCTTTGATAGAAATGTCAGAGGACATACCAGAGGGGTTGCCAACTGGCTATTTGTAAGACGATTAGAAACAGGTATTAATGGTGGTGGAATCACTAATGGATGAAGTTGCTTTGCAATGTATTCCTTAGGTGAGGATAGGATTAAAGGGCGCAGTTAAGGTGCACAAGGTCAGAGAATGATGTTTAAAGTTTTCTCATAAAACTAACGGCTGTTGCTAAGACTTGGGAAGCTACAGTAGATACCCAATGACTAGACTACTGAGCAGGCCATAGCTGCCAGGTGTCTATCAACAGATTAGAACCAAATATGTTGGATTTCTGTACCCAAACTTCATCAGGTCCCCAGCTATAGCCGTGGTCTTGACATAAAATCTCGAGTCCTATAGGTCCGAGATCGAGACAAGATCGAGACCAAATGCAGTCGATTCCGAGACAAGACCAAGACCTTTAAAAAGTGACCGGTTTGTTTCTACAAAAAAAAACTACACTAAAACACTATTTTATACTACAGAGACTTAATTTAACTTCAGTGCCTCATGGGGGGTTAAGTTGAAGAACTGGCTCACTTTACCCCACAGCCACTTTTTTGGCACCATTCATGCTAATCTTTAGCTAAATGATTTACATGGTTTTACACCTTGCTAAATAACCAACATGTATGATACATATTTTCAGAGCTGCATACATTTGCTATGGCAAGCAGAACATGGTTTATTGTACACCATATGCTTCTCTCCATCACAGCCAAATAGAAATGATGGGTGCTTCCTGAATCTATGTTCACATGACAACATGTGCACAGTTCCCTAGATACAGGGGGTGGGTCATCTTTCCCCACTCTACCCCACAGGGCATTATGATGAGTTTAAAACATTGTTTAAGATCAAAACTTGACTTTTCTAGGAATGCTTATCCAGCGGTTGGCACATTTTATTGTGTTTTGTTGCAACAATGTAAGATCTTTATATTGTCACAGCGGCATTCATGTTACTCAGAGATTTACCCAGGTAAAAAAGTTACAACACTGGGGTTGTATCCTGTAGCCTTCAAATAAGATGTCACCCATTTAGATTGTTTTATCAGCTATATTGCAGAAATGTTTAGAGTGGAAGACATAAAAAGACATAAGCATACAATCGTGATTAGGTTATAACCACTGGTTGAAACTAGTAGGTGTATTATGTGGTTTTGTAAGGGATAAAATCAATATGTGCTGTAACTTTAAATTAATAACACTGTTTTATTCTGTTCACGACATTGTCGACACACTCGACTTCCTGTCTGTCTGTGTTTGTAGCATTAGCATGTAGCTAATATTATTTTGTGTACGTGAATATAAGGAGAACGACACGTGGTGTTGCACACTAAACACACTGTCTTCAACTCTCACTTATTGACGCTGCAATATTATTATTAGGGAATGTTTAAATGACCAACAGATATTAGAAGATTGTAACTAACATCAGAAAACGACAGGCCGTGCCTTGGACCCGCCCCCTGTCGATGCTAAGCCAATGGGAGAAGACTACAGATGATAAATATGTGACACAAACAGGAAGCCGGTCTCTTTCTCATCCCCTGCAACGGAGAGAGCAAGCTTGCTAACCATTTTGCAAATTCATTGTATCATTGTACCATTGTTTTATTAAATGCTGTTAACTTGTAAATAAGCTTCCTGGACTCTTTTCAGCTAATCCTACCTTAGATCGTAGAAAACCCAACAGTTTCTAATTATATTTCAACCAGCAATAATCTGGTTTAAGGTTACAGTCTGTTCTATTTAAAATAAAGTCCAACCCTGAGGTTCTTTTTGTTCTATCTGTTGTAAAGGTGGTTCCAGGGCTTCAACTGGGAAGGTTTGAGGCGTCACAAGCTGCCGTCCCCATTGAGGAGAGAGGTGAGACCATGAGCTTTGTTTTCTAACATGGCGCACTGACAGACTGTTCCGGAACAATCTGAGAAAACCACTTGCCATTCTATAAACTTTACAAGAATGCAATCTACTGCTTTTATTTTATTCATGGAGAAATCTGCCATGATGTTTACAATATTATTTGTGACCGATAATGGAAAATGTAGATTTAATGAAGGTTAAAATGCTGATGGGATACATATGGTAATAGCATAGCTATAAATTAGCAACTACCAACTGAACTAACTGTAGGACAGCGACAGGTTTGAAGAAATTTTTTGAAATGGTTGAATTACAGTGTGTTTTATAGATTTTTGGTGCATGTAAATGGTCTGCAGAGACTAAAATCCCTGTTATCCTTCCAGAGGGAGTTTCTCTCCCACACACTCCCCACCCTGCCTAAAACGGCCCCATTGGACTCCTTTGTTTACTTCCATAACAAAGTGACATCACTAAACTGTTGAGTTACCCTGATCTACACATACAAAAAATGATACATTTTCTCATTAGGTTTTTGAGAAACAACATTGTTTGAAGTCTCCTTAGTATTAGATTCTCACACAGTCATATGTCATGTGGTCATGGGGATGACGCTGGGGGAAAACATTGCAGTGGTTGTTCAACGTACAAAGTGCAAGACTGACTTATTTAAGGTACTGAGTTACAGTGGTTTCCTAGCTGCATGAAAGAAATCAAACTGTCCCTGACATGTGTAAATATTGACCTATTAGTATGTATTTTAAGGAAGACTGTCAGTATGCAAACTGAACTGGCCAAATGTCCTTGATTAGGGTGTGCACGGACAGAAGGAATTCAGCTCTACCAATGAGGACACTGTGAATGAACTGATGCTGGCAAAATGTATTGACTTCCTGATGATTTATCTTGCTCCTCAGCTGAAGGGCCCAATGGATCACAGTCATTTCGACTTGTTCCCTCCTGACACAGAGGAACCTCCTGATGAGCTGTCTGCTTGGGATAAGGACTTCTGATGGTACAGAATCTAAGCAGCAGCAGTGGATTTGACTGACCATAACTCCTAAAGATAATCTTTGGATCTCTCTCTCATAGCAGCCTTTTTATCTGGAGTCCATCACCAGGACTGAGACTGAACGAGAAACCTGCTGTGAGGAAATACATGTTCATCATTTTACAGATACTCATGATTAACTAATCATGAGGTGACTACTGTATGTTGATGTATACAACCTTTTTAAAACCTTAAACCTTTAACCACCGCAGGAAAATCGACTGCCCATAACATCGGGCTCCCCATGTCCTAAACAAGAAGGCACTCCCTTGTGTTTTTACTGTTTTTACAAACCAACACATTTCAGATATGTATACACTCGTACTGTAGGAGCATACATTTCATTAGTGTGAATGCTGTTCAACAACATTCCACTATTTTTCTTCAAATCTTTATTCCGCATATTATTATTATTCAGCATACTTTCAGCCACAGAAACCATTAAAATGATGATGGGAAAGACTTTTTAAAATATTCAGCTTTTTCAACTCTTTTTTTAACATGTAACTCAATTGGATGAACCTTCAAATCCTCTTTTACCTACACAGTGTGCAAAATGCAACTCCTTCCACATACTTTCAGCTAGAGACTTCATTCCAACTTTAAAACGGCCACAAGACATTCAGCTATTAAATTGGTATTCTGATTTTTGATATCTTTATCAGGGTTCCCTGGCGCTCATGGTCAGGTCATTTCTTTGATAGGAGCCATAGTTTTTTAACAGGAGGCAAAATTGTCAGAGATAAACCTCAATGCATTCTGAATGATCCTCCCTCTGCTGCTGCAGGTGACCATGGTAACCAGTTACTGGGCAGATTGGGGCAGACACACCTGAGTGACATCATCTAATCAGAGCAGACACGCCCACAGACAAACTGGTACACGCACAGACAAACACTGGATGTCTCTACTACAAATGTTCACACACACACACACACACGCTTAATCACTATTTTCCTACTCAAGTTTTCCAACAAAGTCAGTGCAATGCATTTGAGCTGTAACAATTTTGATTCAAATCATTTCACTTTTCTGCTTTTTTCCTCTAGGTTCAGCAAAACACTTACTTGGTTTCTGCTGCTAAAATCAGCTACAGACACCATTCAACTATCAAAATATTCAGTTTTTTCTGCATTTTCAGCTGAGTTCCGCAACAAATTTGCGCAGGTTAGCAGCATTCACACGCATTTTCAGCAGGAAATGCATTTTCTAGTTTTTATGTATTTGCTGGTAGCAGAGTGAGGTAATCAATATTTCTAATATGCGACAGAGCAACAGGGTTTGTGGGCCAACATTACATTTTGCTCCGCTGTGTGCATTGTGATCATTTTATTTGTTTTCATAATTGTATTCCTGCAGTTTTCTAGTGTGTATCACTAACAACTTTAGCATACACCCTGCGGTTTACTGTACAAGTTGTTGTATGAATCAAGTAGCAATAAAATAAGGAAGTCCAGAATAACTTTTTGATGGAGGTTCTGCTGTTGCAGCAAAAGTAAAAAAGGAAATAGTGAAAGTACTAATTTCATACTTGTACTTACATGTTGGTACAAAGGAAGAATGAAACACTGTGGGACACAAGAGAATAACAACAAGAGACTTTCAGATAGATGTAACAACTGGAGTAAACTCAACAGCACCACTCAGAAACTCAGGCTTTAGTTTGAATTTAAGTATTTACTTAGAAAAAGGTGTAGACAAGAAATGGGTCAGGAAGCGTAGCAAGGTCAGTTACACGACAATCACTAGGAAGAAACAGCTGGAGCACTCAATCCGGAGGTACAAAGACGAACTGGCAACAAGAGGAAAGGGGGCACTATAAACACAGGGGGGGGGGGGTAATGGGGCACAGGTGAGACTCATTGGGATGATTGATTACACAGGTGAGGAACAATCAGGGGCAGGAAGTGGGGACTCTGGAATGAGAGGGGATGTGGGTAACAAAATAAAATAGAAATTACAAAATTACAACATAAAGGTTGATTTCCCGGGGAGGGCAGTACAATAGATCCATATTCATCACATATAGCAGTGTTTCATAACAAACCACGTTTTGTTCAGCCGGATAATCTCCACATGTCTACCCTACTTTTATAATTTTCGAATCATAAATTGCCAGAAGCAAAATGCTAACGTTATGCTATAAACCAGTGACCATCAACATCCGGCCCCCCAGACATTCTCATCCGGCCCGCACGGCGGGGGTGACTGTGGCGTTGGCGGAGTGGTTAGTGCGTTCGCCCCCCACTCATTTCTTTTTTTACAACGTACCGGAGTCCAAAAGAGAGGCAGCAGCTGCGGGACAGAAGACTGCGTACTACGTAGCCTTCCCTGCCCTGAAGAAGAAGTGATCCTTCGTTAGCGTGAAGAGTCTGCTTTATGCGCTCTGCAGCAGTAGCCCCGCTGCGAGGCTCCGGCGACTTCACAGTACATGCATGTACTCTTCCCGCTAACGAAGTGATCCTTCGTTAGCGGGAAGAGTCTGCTAAGCTTTATGCGCTCCGCAGTACCTGCGCGTGCTCCACTTTTTCGTGTCACACAGAACGATTTTAAAAGCAATGTATTTCTATTGGTAGTATGTTTCGTGCCTGCACCACGTCTTTTTGTCCGGTCGGGTCTTGGAAGACCGGAAGCTGTGTGGTTCATGAAAACATGTTCTTACTCAATATCAAGCCACGATTATTGTTTTTAATTTCAAACCGTATAATGTCTGACTTTTTTTGCCGTCCGCGAGGAAAATAAATGGGGCTCAGAGCCTCAGAATACTGAAATCTGTATTTTTGTAATCTTTTTTTCCTTCTAATTTGTTGATCTTTTTTAAATAACACAGTGTTATTTACTCAACAATAACACACAATTATCCTTGTTTTTATTTATTAGTTTAATTCTATAATCTCGGGCTTTTTTGAGTAGCATGAAGCTGCAGCGTTGGAGACTGCACTCTCAGGACTGCACTCTCAGGACCGCACTCACAGGACCCTCGTTTTTCGTGACACTGCCACCTAGCGAGCAGGAGACCTGAATATCAACGACAATGCAGAGAGTGTGAGTAATGTGAAGTGCTTTTAAAGTTTTATTTGTTTAACATTAATAACAATTCCGGTGTCTTGAAATGAAGTGTGATTAGCTAACATTAACTATGATAGTCTTAAGGCAATACAAACAAACATCTGTTAGCTTATGATAGCTTCTAACAGTATTAAAGGCACTAAAAACAATTATTCGTTAGCTATAGCTTTCGGCAAAAGCATTATTAGCAAAAGCATTAGTTTCGTTAGCATATTTGATTATTTGTTTAATGAAACTGTAGCGTGATTTTGGCAAGCCCAACTAGGTGTCCTACATTAATTGTTGATTTAATCACTAATTACAGTAAGAGTGTGAGTAATGTTGTTTGTTTAAAGTTAACAACTATTCTGGTGTATTCAATTGGACAGCAATACAAGCAACACGTGCTAAATGTCATCTGTTAGCCTATGATGACTCGCTGCAAAACCAACTGTTAGCCTTTTTGTTTATTTGTTTAATGAAACCGTATGTTATAGTTATGTTATTTAGCAGAGGCTTTTATCCAAAGTGACTCACAAAAAACATAAAATAACCATAATTAACATTAGAATATCAATACAAATAGTTACATAGTCAGTTACATTACTTATTACATTTTTAACAGGGTAATTAGTCATCTGTAACCTACTACATTTAAAAAAAGTAAACTTCCCAACTCTGATCATTAATTATAGTCAGCTAATTAATTAAACTTCAAAGGATGACAAAAGCATGTCAATATGATCTGTCTGTCCGCTACATTAAATCAGCAGTAGCCTAAGTTCTGTCTTCAGTGTAAATGCTTCTTTAATAGTCATTGTATTACTATTTGAATTCATTGTAAATAATCTTAACTGTGCTGACTGCCTGTTTACTGTTTATCAGACAGTCTCATCATTCTGACATGTTTTGCAATATTGCATGAGGTGTTTTATTATTATTCTCATCATGGAGCGTTTTGAAATACAAGGGTATGAAAGCCCTTAACAAACACTTTATTTTGAGGGTCACTTGTAGATTATCTACAATCTCTCAACAAACTCAGTAGCATGTCAATAGAACATCTGTTAGTTATATTAGGTTAACCATCTACAGATCAGTTGACCATCAGTAACAAGAGCTGTAAGACTCTGGATGGCAATATCTGTTGAGATTATTAATGCATATCAATTGTGCACCAATGCCTTAGCCTTTCCCTATGCAATACTTTAGATTACATCTTGTTCTTATTGTTTCAAAGGCATGGCCAAAGGTTTGCCTTCTGGACTCTGGAGGCCAGAAGCTTGCTCGAGGGAACCCTTCAGCCAGTGTTCAGAGTGCCACGACAGAGTGCCAGAATGGATATCTCCCAGGAGAAGGTGGTCAACAGCAGACCAACAGCAGATTGAAGAATCCACAGTGTGGAAATTATGCCCAATACATTTATTCTGCACGGAAATGCCTCTCGGTCAAATTGCATGTTTATTTTTGGCAGCCTGGTGCATAAACACACTAACAGTTGTTTGATTTATTTAGAACGTGTAATACAATAAAAATATATATAATAAATGTATGTCTACATACAATATACATTTACAATTATAAATAGATTATATCATTATTACTACAATATATATATATTTACGTTGATGTCAAATTTGATAAGACAAATATAAAAGACTATCTTTTTACATCTGACATACAAAATACATTTGTTGTTAAAAAACAAAAACATATTAACAACAAATTGTTGTTGTAAAAACTAAATATAATAATAAAAACATATTTTCATTCATGTAAATGTCTACTTTTGCGATATTCATGAATTTTTAGATGGTTAATAACAAGCATTACAATGTCTACTTTTGCGGTCATCCAATCCGCTAGGTGGCGATGTTGCAAAACAACTAGGGTCCTGGGAGTACGGTCCTGAGA